ACACATACCGACAGACGCACATGCACATGCACGCGTGATGACTCTCATTGTTGCAGGCAAAATAATAACAGGCCAAAAGTCTAGCAGAAGCCCCCTTTGTTGTGAGCAAAACTTTAACAGGCCCACGTGCCACAACGATAATCAGATAGCCCAAAAGAATCAATATCACAGTGACACTTTGGAGATCATTCAACCATTTTCTCATTTCGAAGTCACCTCGACGACCAGATCAGAAGAAACGGAGTGGAGATCACATGCCAGGTGCGACAGGGCCCACGACGGCATGGCAGGCGTCTACTGCATACAGCTAACATATTCACAGGCAAATCTGTATGTCGTATGGATGCACCCCACATAGGCAGTCACAGAATAGGTGCAGTGCCTCATCACACCTGAAGGCGAGAAGTAGGTCAGGCCATTCCTCATATGACAGACCCGCATCCAGACAAACGCAGCTGCTGCACGCAAGCCAGGCCTAGATGGAACCAGACAAGATAATGCTTTAGAGAAGTTGTATGCGTACTCTTTGAAGTAATTCGCACCTGCTCCTCGGTAATTCTGAGGTACATGCATTACCAATTTACGTGTGTCATCCTTGCGCAAAGGCCATGCTAATTTTCTCTGTACCGTTCCAATTTTAATCGATGTCCCAAAGGTACATGCATTCTGGTATGCCTATCAGGATTAGCAAGTACACCAAGCAGAAGAATTGGCCTACCTATCTATGGACTCCCAAACCCTGTCAACAAGAAATAAAGACTGTGACAATCAACAATGTCCCTCCAAATAAAACACCCGTTAAAATTGGAAACGGTACAGAGAAGATTAGCATGGCCCCTGGGCAAGGATGGCACGGGTAAGTCAAGAAATGGTCCGAATTAGGGGAAAAAAAAAAAAAAAAAAAAAAGAACAGTGATTGTTTGGAAATGCCATCTGTAGCGCTCGTCACAATCCCTGGAACGACAAAACAAGCCCGCATAGCCTCTTACTCCAAGCTTGAAAAAAGATAGAAGAGACATTCTGCAATTCCAGTCTACTTACATGTGGCAGTGCTGAACTCTAGCCCGGCATCCTAGCCTGATGGAGCACAGTCTCTCTGACCAGTAGCAGTAGTTGTTTCCACTTCAAAAAGAGACCAGATTCAACTCACGATCACAGTGTCTTGTGCAAACAATGAGACCACCACCGTCTTCCCCCGAACACAACGCACCCTTATTTTGGCTGTATCTGGCCGGATATAGCTTGTATACATTCATTTTTAGGGTGTGTTATGTTCGGGGGAAGACGGTAGCACCACTCAGGGCCTACTCACGCTGGCTACTTCGCCAGTAGGGAAGGGGTCTACTCACACTAGGCCCTTATGATCGCAAAATCACAAAATCAGTGGCCAGATGGAGTCTCTCTTAAGCGAGAACTCTATCTGGCCGCTGATATTGCGATTCTGCGATTAAAAGGCCTACCGTGTTCACCCGAATAGAACGCCCGGTAATTATCGCCGTATCTGGGCTGAAAGTTGTGCCGAAAGGAGCTATAATGACCGGACGTTATATTCGGGTGAAGAAGGTAGTGTGAGAATACTCTCAGATGCTAAGAAACGAGGGAAGCAAAGATGGCGGCAAAAAGATTTTGATGATGGATCAAGTGGGAAAAGAAAAGAGCCATGGGGAACAGTGTCCAATCATCAATGGAGTATGGAGAAGTAATGTCTCTCCATCTCCTTTACACCCTCTCTGCATACAATACATCCTCATAGACTGATCTGCAGTAAGATGCCACTGTCTTCAGGAACCTCTTAGAAGATGCTCTCTGGCACTGAATATGGTTGCTTCCAACCGCCGCTGAGGCTTCCCTCACTGGCGACCAGACTCCGCGTCCTTCAGCACAAAGATTACAGCTACATTCCACAGACTTGAAACAGAAAGTGCCTCATGCACAGACTGCTATAGCCTATACAGATTGTCAGTGCTCCTCTGGCGCCTTGAAACAGAGCGTGTCATGCACTCACTGTTATAGCCTATACCAACTCCAGTGCTCCTCTGGCGCCCTGAAACAGAGTGTGTGCCATGCACTCACTGCTATAGCATATATACCGAGTGTCAGTGCTCCTCTGGCGTGTTGAAAAACAGAGTGTGTCGTGCACAGACTCTTATAGCCTATACTGGCTGTCGGTTCTCCTCTGGCACCTTGAAACAGAGCGTGTGTCATGCACTGGCTACTATAGCCTGCACCGACTGTCCGTGCTCTTCCGCCTCCACAATCCACACTCCACTTCCACTTCATGCCTGTTACTATGTTCACTCGGGATCTTTGAAACAGACCGTGTGTCGTGCCCTGACGCAACTGTCGGTGCAACTCTGGCTCCACAATCTGCGCTCCACATCCACTTCACATCTGCCACTATGATGACCGAGGTCCAACCTTTACACTCCTCAAAGATGGGGGGACCCTTGACTGAACAGAATACCTCCATCTGAAATGGAGGTTGATATATGTATATTGCAGTCTGATTGGAAATTGTGCTTCCGGAAATATGGAGAAGCTTTAACTGGTTGTCCAGCAGGGCCATAGCGTTCTCCCTGAGGATGGCCACGGGTGGTTAGGGTCGTTGGCTTCCAAGGGGACAGTTGGCATTCCTATCCCGTCCAGAGGCTGGTAGTCCAGAATCCCATGCCTGGACGTTTCAATGCCAGCTCTAGATAGACATGGTATTGCCAGAGCACAAGCTATTCGAATTTGATATAGCAGGCCTTCGAGAGGTCACATTATCGCATTAAAAATTACCTTCTCTTTGAGCGGTCACGTCATCGCATTAACCGTCCACAAGGATCTTCCCATCTCCTATGGAAGGATGCACGTGTTCGCTTTGTCTTCGAGGATTCACGTTATTGAGACAATTACTTGCTCTAAAGACTCTTGAGGTTCCCAAACAGCTCAGAGGTCACTGGCTAGGATGAGCGGCCGTACTCTTTTGTGGTTTCCTCCTGGTCGAACATTGCTTATACACTATTAACTGGTTCCAATCAAGCACTGAAAAACCAAGTGCGAATAAGCGTGTAGTTGTTCCAGCAAACGAACTAAATGTCAGATTCTGACGTTTACATTCGTTTGGGCTTGTGGTACTGGATCCAGAAAAAAATGGCTTTAGAGTTTACAACCTCTCAACCTTGCACATGACCAATTCTCAAAACCTTTAGCACTGCTTCTACCCTTCACCCCCCCTCCCCTCCTTTTTCATTTGCACCTTTCAAGCCCCCAAGCCCTTGTGCATCTCGCATCTGGTACTAGCCGTCTCCATGCTTGGCTGCCCTGTGTGGATGCCAATCATATGTGCATGTAAGCCTCCGGGAAGCCCCCTGCAAAAGTCCGTGTGGATCTTGCATCAGATAATATGGGCCTCCACAATCTGCCTCCATGTGTGCATTTCAATCTGTGCACATATGTGAATGTAGTAGGCCTGCATGCAGGGACAAGTCAGCAAATCTAATGGATGCTCACTATATCATGCAAGACGTATGATTGTGCGAGCACAATAGTGGAAATGACATACAGAGCCCCCAGACAGTGACAACAATTGAGGAAAATGAATGTGCACATGCAGCGCTGCAAACAGAGCTGTGCATGTAAACACTTTCAGAAATCGAATTCAAATTATTGAATGGTAAATACCCACACACCTGTTCAATCACATCCACATTGACATGTTTCCGTGGCTGGAAAGGCTTCACTTCGGGGAGACCATCAAGGCCATCATCGTGAACGAACCCGTCCTCCCCACACCTCTTCTTCATTTCATTTAGGGACTTGACCCGGTCCTCGTAGTCTCTTGGGAGCTTGACGGCCAACTTCTTCTCCACTACCTCACGATCCTCTGTAAAGACATACTCTTCAACAACAGTATATTTTCGTGTAATCGGTGGCACCATTGCTGCCTTGTGCATCTTGTTCCCCCGGTGGTGTCCTCGATCCCCTCTCCGAAAGGCGACAAGATCTTCCCATGACGTTTCCGTTCCCTCATCCTCGGAAGACGAGGGTGATGAAGACCCTGTTGACGCATCATTAACGTTGCCAGCATCCCTATCCTCTATAGAATCGTCAGTGTCATCTTCAGAGGAGAGCAGCTCTTCCTCTTCATCATCAGTCTCATCTATCATTCCAATCTCCACCTCGTCATCCTGTGAATCACTAGCAAGCCAGGCATCATCTGATCCCGATCTTTCTGAGCATTCATCATTTTCACTCCCACTGCACTCATTCCTTGCATGCCGCAAACTATGCCTGTTCCCAAACCTCTCTTCCTCCCTCTCCTTCCTTTTCCGGCTTGTTGCATGGTCCCCAGCATATCCAACCTTGTACACTTTGCCAGGCTTCTGGCCACAACGAAGCAAGTTCCCATTCGTAACAGCTCTACCAGCGGGCTGAGCCAAGAGTGCTGCTGACTCTGCACAGACCATTTGTGTACATAGAAACACAATTTGACAAACATATACCTTTCAATGAGTCATCGCAGTCCGAGGCAGACACTTCGTCTCTCACATACCTTAACGAGACAGAGATCTCTGAAGGAATGCACAATGAGTAAGGTGATATTGTATGACAAGGCAACAGGGACACACACAGAAAAACTCACAGACACGAAAAGAACAGCACATTGGAAATGCAACAGGGACACAAAAAACATGGTATCCGCCACAATCACATGCCAACACGCACACAAATGCCAGCTCGCGTATATGAGACAAAGACAAGGATGCACATGACACAGTCCAACACCACCGGGTTCGCCGCACCCCCCCACACACACCCACACGCACGTGCACACAGTCCCCAAACACACACACACACACACACACAAAAGTGCACACACACACACACACACAAGAGTGCACACACACACACACACACACACACACACACACACACACACACGTCATGCGGGGAGAGACAAACGGAAATACATATAGGCAGTGTATGCACAGATCCATGCACATACATGAGCACCCACATACATGCATCGGCGAAGAGGAAATTGCTAACAGCTCAGAAGCTCCATAGAATACGAGTTGCAGATCAGAAGTGCGCCTCTTTGTAAAGGCCAAAACATCACTAAAAACATATGTGGAGCACTACACTGTCTTCGCAAAGATGAGGTGTTCCACAGGAATTTAGACACCAAATATATCAGTAACTAACGAAAGAAAGGGCCAGCCTAGCCGTAGAGTTCGATTAGGCAAGCACTGGGACCTAATTCCGAGTCTAGAAATAAATTCAAACAATGCATTTGCATGTTCTCAATGCAAAAGTTGATTCCATTCCACAAAAAGAACAGTTTTCACATCATCTCACCTGCGTACTTCTCGCACAGCTTCGTCGATAGTTTAACTGCAATTTGCACAATCTTCGGATTCCTGCATCACCAGACCCAACCCAGATACACGGTGCAGGACAGCATTAGGAAAATGCCAGGACACTGGCCCCGCTTTCCAGAATGAATAGAGGGTGGGTCGAGGGATGGATCTCGCCATAAGCTAAACTGGCTGTTGCTGCCAGGATGACACCAGGTCGAATTGTGAGGTCCCCGGCCTCGTTTTGCAATCTATCAATGAAATGTTGCTTTGTGTTAAAAAGAAAAAAAGAAAAGGAAAATGCCACGATCATTGAATGTGAAAATGTCTTCAGACCCCCATGCTGTATATTGATGGCCAGAACAACAGAACAAACCTGATCCAATCAATCATTTCGGGCAAGTCTTTGAAAACACCAGTGCCCTGTTTGCAAATTCCCCTGTAACATTTTCTTAAGCCTGGACCACTGAGCGAAAATGTTCTGGGCCTACCATCTTCACTCAAAATTAACGCCCGGGTGTTACATTCAACTAACCCTTAATAAATCGGACTTTTGTTTCAACTCACTTTTTTTCAAAAATAGAGCGTCCCTTCGAACATAACGCCCGGGCCTTATACTGTAATGTGTCATGGGCAGAGTGGTTTGTAGAGGGAGTACACATGGGTTTTAAAGGGGGGGGTAGGGGGTGTACATGGGTTTTAAAGGGGGTTGAAAGGGGGGGGTAGGGGGTGTACATGGGTTTTTAAGGGGGTTGAATGGGGGGTTTGATTTCCAAGGGGTATGGTATGTTTTGGTTTCATTTTGTCTTTTCTTTTTCATTTCCGATCGTATAAGAATTCTGAGTGACCCTAAGCCAGAAGTTCGTTGCTTTGTAATTCTACACAACATATATTTTTTTTAACAGATTTTTTTTGTGTGGGCAGGGGCCGCCGAAGTCGCCACCAATTTACTGAATACAACGCCCTCTCGGCCGTTAAATTCATATACAACACCCGGGTGGCCAGGGCTATGCGAATTTCGCATAACTGGCCCCTACCAGGCGTCGCTGACGCCTCAAGTAGAGCACGAAGAACAAAACATGCAACTTTTTCCCCCCAGAACTTATTTACCATTGAGCGGCCCCTAAAGGGGAAAAGAAATTTACGTTGATCCCAAAACGATCAGCACCCAATCTATGCCTCTGATTTTTAAGATTTTTTTTCAACTAGTTCTGAACGCCAAAAATCACCACAGATGGTGGGCTCAAAATTACGCACGCTGCCACTGAATCCCAAACGTCCCTGGCGCACTGAGTATTTTGCAGACTGCCACCACCCCCCGCCCTGCAGCCGTGCCAGTGCATGCACTGGCGCAACGTTCGGATCACATCAGGGCATCAGGGGGGGCTTGTGGTTTAATCAAATCTATATCCGTTTCATGCACAAGGCAATTCCAGTAGCAAGAACATTAAAAAAGGTAGAGGGCAGGAGGAGAGACTCTGAGAAATGCAGGGCAGAACACTTCTACTCACTAACCTTCAACAGCTCTTGACTCACGCACACTATGAAAGAACAGTATTTGGCATTGCGCCGTTCTCCCAGTCCAGAGCACGAGGAACTAATGTGTACAAGCTTTGTGAATTGTTCTGCTAAACAATCAACAAGCCACCCATGCCTTCACATCACACGATCAGTGTGACTGTAACTTGTGACGATGCTACTGTCTTCCCCCGAACACAACGCACGCTCATTTTGGCCGTATCTTGCTGGAAATATAGCTTGCATACATTCATTTTTAGGGTGTGTTATGTTCGGGGGAAGACGGTAGTACAATACAAGCTGCTACGACAAGCAGCAAACAACCCAGTGCAAGTTGCTACGGCAAATAACCGAAATAGCTTCGGTTCTCCAACTGTTTCATGAGCCCTCGCTGGCCTGCGAAATTGAGAGGAGGTGAGCATCAGCAAGCAGGTCCAACGGGCACCTGATCCTGACAGCTTCGGTTGTCGATAGAAGATCACGTTTCTCAATTGCATCAGGAAGAGGGCCGGTAATGCCTATCACAAAGTCATCTGCGTATCGCACATGGTTGAGAAGTGGAAAGTTTGTGTCTGCCACTTCGTGCTTGTCGTATTGCTCCTTTAGGGTCTCATAATATATGTATTTGTCCAATTGATGTAACGTAATGTTACATAGTAGAGGCGTTTGCAAGAACGTAAGAGCATATCCAACACTTAGGGATTTTCGGACTAAGCTCATAAATTTTCTACAAGCAATTTCTTCTGAAAGAATTTCTAGAATAACCTTGTGAGGCAGCCGCCAGGCTGTGGTAATGTCACCTTCTGTAACCCGAGTCGCACTCTTGAATGTCCGGTCTACCTGGAGCATTGCACGCTTCGCGTGAGAACAGTGGGTTTGCATACCGCTGGATGCCAGTATGTTTCCCAGCCTTTTTTTTTGCCTCACATAGCATCCACCGTGACTTTCAGGGGCAGAGGTGGGCTTTGATGGATTTCATCAACGGCCCCCGACCCCCAAAAGCCGCGGTGCACGGTCCACCATGTTGGAACTTTTTGACTGGGAAACATATTGTTAGTCTGGTGGTCAGGGCGTCCTCATGCAAAATCTTCTCTCAAAATGAGTTAACCGCTGCATCCACATTTATGGTCAGAATACGACACGAGTAATCAGAACAAGGTAGAAAGGGGAACTGATACAAAACCGTGATCCACCGACATTCTTCATTGAAAAGTTCAACTTTGAGACGATGCCATCCGTCACCGATCAAAAGAAGTGGAAGATATATGCGAGACAGAACAAAGCAAAGAAGCAGGACAAGAACACAAGATTGACTCGATGCCTCCTTCCCTCGTCTCTCCACTCCAATCATCATCACTCGCAAACACCGTGCCCTCTTTGTCACTACAGTATAGCAATCACTGTTTCACGGCCTGTGACCGACTCACAATCTCGGCCCTTTGTTTCATTGATGCCCAACAGGTCCGGATGGGCCGCTTGAAACCTTGGCGGAGCGCACGTGGGGGCACTGCGGCACGGCCGAGGGAACGCCCATGACAACCTTTTCCAAAAAGTTCGGGAGGGCGCGGCAAGCAAGGCAAGATGGTCAACTTCAGTACTCTAGTTTAAGCTCTGCTACGCTTCACTTCGACTTTGCTACTCTGCTCTAGGCTACGGCCTACAATTCCACTCTACAATGGACACACACACACACACACACACACAAAAGCTATGGCGGACAGTGCTCCACGCTGTGCTGTGATGGACACACACACACACACACACACACACACAACATTTACGGGTGAAGCTCAAGAGAATATGTCGTCACTAAGCTCTTTTACGAGCTGGGGGTTGTGCTGTGCATCTTGAAGGTTGGACGCCGATTGGGCTCTGCAGCATGAAGGATGGAAGCTGAGGCTCGGGTTTGTGCATTGGAGGCTTTCAGACGACCACGCTACCATGACTGAAGTGAGAGCCCCCCTTTCTTTTTGTTTTGTTTCCGTCAATTTTCTACTTCTTTGGTTTCTATAATGTCCCTCTCAATCGTACGATTGATCAACGTGGCAAAGTCCGGCACAGACATAGAGAGACAGAGAGAAAGAGAGACTATCCTACACTACTCTGCTGCGCTACTCTACTTGGTTCAGACACCTCGTCCGCTTGATCGATTGTCATGGCATGGGAAAAAGCAGTTCTCTCTCTCTCTCTCTCTCTCTCTTTCACACACACACACACACACACACACACACACACACACACACACACACACGCACACACACACACACACACACACAAAACATAGAAAAATCGACTCATAGCCGAAAACCACAGCAAACAGACAAAATCAGCAACTTTGCTCAGAGAATGTAGATTTCTGAGTCTAAAACTGTGCGGGTCATTGCACAGTACGATTCAGACAGACTCGATCCACCAAGAAAAACACTAATCCACCAGTTCAGGCCCCAGCCAACCCAAGATTGTGACTGTCCACAACGAGGCAGCGATTTCAATGTACTAGCCTTCCTCAGTGTGATTTGTACTCGATGGAAACTGACTGCCACTGCCGCGAACTGGGCTGAAATGATACATTTCAGACCAGGAATGGCAAGTGAAAAATGAGGTGTGCATACCGGCCCAGAAGGAGAGGACGACACATGCTGCCTACATCTCTCTTGAAATCCTGCGGTCCTGATGGCTTGCCATATTGACCAGCAGCAAGTTTTTTGGCAATGACAGCCAAGTTGCAATGCCTCTTGTTGTGATTGCCAGCTCCATCATCCTTGCCCTGCAACACAAAGCAACATCCAACCGCTCATTTGAGTAACGTTCATCTTATCCACACCAATGAAGAGATGAGAAGAGAAGAAAACCCACAAGGCTTATTTGCACTCGACAGGATTTCGGCATACTCAACTTGTCATACCATACAGGTTAACCAACTAGCCTAACACAGTTGGTATACCCATGAATTGTCGAAATACAGACCAGAGTTCAAATCCTGATAGAACTCGGTGAATTGAACTGTTGAATTACCTGTGGCCTGTCTGTTTCATGATGATAAATAGGCGATCTCCTTTTGGGGAAAAAAAAAGAAACACTATTACAGGTTACCAGCTCCATCCTTGCTCTGCAACACAAAGCGTCATGGAACAGTTCTTTGAGACACATTCAGCTTAGCTTATCTAGACTGACCCAACGAAGAGAAGGGAAACAGCCCAGGAGGTTTTTTGTACTGAACAGGGTTTCAGCACACAATTCTCTTGTCAAGCTATGTACCGGGATGCGTCTTTCTGCTGAGAGCAAGTTTACCGCATCTATGACTACCCCAGTACCCTGCCCAATTCTACCTATTTACACCCGAATTAGAAGGGGGGCTCAGCTCAGGCAAGGCAGGGTTGGCTGAGGCACGGCAGAGGCTTTGGCATGGCTCCTTTTGAATGTCAGGTAGGGTCGGCAGCCATGCCAATTAGAGGGGGGCTTTGGCAAGGTAGGGTTGGCAGAGGCTGACATTACGAATGAAAAGGTGCAAAAGAAGAAAAGGCGACGACAAAATTGGCACACTGGCACACTGACGAAAAACAAAATCAACAAAATTTTCAAAACAGGAAGAGGCAACGAATAGAAAATCAAAATCGCTGTCGGTTCTGCAATTTCTGGCTGCTTCTGGGTTTTTGCGAAGCATGAGGGGTCTCGTTGTAAAAGGCCTGCAACCGCTGGACATTGCCTGCACCCCCCATAAACCTGCAGAAAATCGACGTGAGCAGGAAAAGCCCCGTGTGTTAGTTGCTGCACGCAGCATCTTCAACCAGCCACTAGCCCAGTCGGTTGAAGATTCTGGGGGCCCAGCAAAGATGCTGAGGCCCAGGGCACTTGCAGTAACCGGACGCAGCTAGTGGGACAGAGGCCGTCCGGCAAGGGCCTGCCTTGCCCAGCCAGACAGGGCAAAAGCAAGTGAGCTGGCGGGACGGCAGCAGCGCTGCTGAAGCACTGGCTTGCTGGACGAGAGTCAGGCCAGCAGGACGAAGGCCGCTGGCAGGGCGCGAGGAAGAAGTTGTGAGGGCTCAGCGACCATAGTCGGGCCGCTTGCACCCATAGCCAGACGAGGAAGCCGGAGGGCCTTGTTCGACGGACAGTGGAGAGCCTAACAAGAGGCACACTAAAAACAGTCTTATTCTGCATGAACACTAAGCTGCTGACAACACGATGATGCCATAGGGAGGCCCTCATTGCTTCCATGCTCCGGCCTGAACTGATAACCTACCCCACAAAGAGACATCCATGCTTCCAGGTCAGGTCCATTTGCACTGCTGCCCACTTATTTGATTGGATTCCTGGAGCCTGCTTCATCAGCAAGCGACTTCACGTGCAGAGAAAACCATTACACAGTTTTACTTACACCCCTTCTTCGTCCAAATACTCTGGTAATATGCATATGCCGTCAGGACACTCTTGTTCCATCTCATGTATGACGGCCTGAACTGATGACCTACCCCACAAAGAGACATCCATGCTTCCAGGTCAGGTCCATTTGCACTGCTGCCCACTTATTTGATTGGATTCCTGGAGCCTGCTTCATCAGCAAGCGACTTCACGTGCAGAGAAAACCATTACACAGTTTTACTTACACCCCTTCTTCGTCCAAATACTCTGGTAATATGCATATGCCGTCAGGACACTCTTGTTCCATCTCATGTATGACAACTGGTTAATCTCCATGGCATTCAATTCAATAGCAAGATGGGCACAGCGTATCTTCATGGCATACGCATGCAAGAACCAGAGGGGTTCAGTGCACTACAGAAAAATGTGAAGTTACCTTTATTTCCTTCAGGGCTAACATTATTGGATCAATCAGGATTTGCACTCGCGATCTGTTTACTAAAAGCCAGATGTGTTACCTTTTTTCACTCAAGGGTAGATCGTTCACGATTTGAACTCATGATCTGTTTACTGACATCTAAGCCCCTGCGCTTTCAAGGATGACACGCATAAATCGAGAAATGGTCCAAATTATTTATAATAAAAAAAAAAAAAATGTGTGCATTTTTGGGGGATTTGAACTCATGATCTGTTTACTAACAGCTAGATTTGTGTACCATTGAGCCACAAAATGGGAAAGTGCAAGTTGATAGTTGAAGGTGAGCAACAACGTAAACGGTTTGCAGTCTGAGAAAAACTACCGGTTTGCAGTCTGAGAAAAACTACCGATCACGACCACCCCCAAACAGCATGGGGCCCTTTCATCAGATATAGCTCATAGGACATGATCCTAAGGGTAGGAGGTCAATTGAGACCCATTTAGAGGAATAAGGAATATAAAACAGAGAAATGAATCACCGGTCGACTTAGCGACTTCGCAGTCCCTCGCTGTCTTCCATTAGGTTAACACATTAATATAGAAGGATGTGGAGATGGGAAGAGAGGGAGTTCAGAGGGGTTCTTCGGGTCATCCCTCGGAATTGAAACAATGCACAGAGAAGATTAGCATGGTCCCTGCACAAGGATGACACGCACAAATCGAGAAATGGTTCAAATTAGGGGGGAAGGCCGAGAAGGAAGGGCGAAAGTACCAAGAAGAGGAGATCAATTGAAATTTGAAACCCATTGAGAGGGACAAGGAATAAAGCAGAGAAAAGAATCACTGGTTCCTGACGTCGGAGCCTCTCGGCGGCGTCCACATCCATCAGGTCGTACGTCATTATAGAAAGGACGCAAAGATGGTAATAGAAGCAAAAGGGGAGGATCAGTTGAAAGATCGGAATCCCATCGTGAGGAAAAAAAGGCAATAGAGAAGAGAAACGATTCAATCACCGGTTGGCTTAGCAGTCCCTCAGTGTCCGCCTTTTCAATACGCTGCAACACCTCAGCAACCTCTCTTTCAAACATACTGTTCAGTTCGAATCTCCCACCAGAGTCTATGGAAGTCTGGCCACTTGGACTCCCCTTTCCGCTCTCTCTCCCTGCAAGACAAGTTTTTGAGCCCGCCGCCTTCAACAAAACCCGCCGCATGCTTCCAGCCACCCCACTTGTCACAGCACCACCGTCGACAAGCCGACGATTATCGCGGGCCCTTGCCCCCTTCGCATCTGCAGCCATCTCGAGAACCTTTGCACCCTTGGCATCACCTGCATCGTCAAACCTGTGACGATGTACAGCCCCATCACCATAGAAATCTGCTCCAATGGACACACTCCGTGCCATCCTTCCCACAGAATCACCAGCCCTCACGCTTCCAGACTGGACAGCCCCTCCGCTTCCACGGCTCTCTACCGGGTCAATCACACGGGGCACCTTCCCAGAAACATGCGCAATCCGGCTTTCGGCCATCTTTCCAATCTTGTGCAAATTTGGCGAGCCGCTACTACCTTCCCGGCCACACTCTAGTTTCAGTCTCGACTTGGATTTCTTCACACCAGCGGCACTGTGACTAGTGACCCAATGAATATGAGGTTCTTTCTGAACAAGGCATTCGAGCTGGGGGCAACCTCTGATGTCCGCCCAATTAATCGTTTTGTGAGACTGCAGAAGCCTCTGCACTGCATCGGAGCTCAGGTTCACACAACCGCGCAGAGTGACCCGTTTCAATTCGCCCAGTCCAAAGCTCTGATCATCACATAAGGCATAGGAATCAATTTCAGTGAGTTTCTGTGAAGACAAAAAAGGGTCATTCCATCAGTTTCCCAGAAGCACCCCAGTGAGCTGCAATACTGGAGCTTCCAGTCATATATTGGACGAAGGCGACGATGATTTGAAGCCCCCATGGCCCCCATGGGCTGAGCTCAACATTATGCCACTTTGACAATGCCAATAGCATCCATCTGAAGGGACAGTACTGAAGGATTCCAGGATAAATTTGACTGTGACGTGGTTCCAGGTTCAGTCCCATCTATGCAAGTGGGAGTGTCCCAAACTCGGCTCAGCAGATATTCCAGTCCTGACTGATGGAAGTAACGACACTCGTGGACAACAGCCAGGAGGACCAGAGCTCAGTTGGGTCACTCCCACTAGCACAGACGGAGCTGAACCTGGAACCACTCACGGTCAAATTCATCCAGGGAAGTCCCAGTGTGAGTATGCCCTAACTAATGACAAGCACCTTTTTCTCTTCCACCAGCATTCACGGTCCCCATAAACCACACAGTAAGAGTATGACAAAGCTCAATTGGGGACACTCCAAAATGTACAGATGGGACTGAACCTGGAACCATTCATTGTCAAGTTCATCCAGGGAAGTCCCAGTGTGACTGAACCTGTACCCATTCATGGTCATAGTGTGAGTATGCCCTTTCTAATGATAACCACCTTTCTCTCTTCCACCAGCATTCATGGTCCTACTGTCCCGATAACCACCACCAGGCAAGAGTGTGACAAGTCAGCCATTCCAAATACCAATCACAGAACCAAGAACCTCTCCAATTACTGCAACTTTTTTTTTTTTTTTTCAAATGAAACTTCAAGCTCCACAGTCCTACCATCCAGATAACCACCCAACGCATACCTTGCAATTCTCTAAAATCAAAGGCTCAAAGAGCAAGCAAGACTTAAGCAATTTTTCGTTTCATTTTTCAACTTTGGGTTTTTTTGGTAACCATATTTTGATCTGCCTCGACGTCGATTAGGAATTCCTTGTAAGTCTTTGGCTCCTGGAATACAATGATATTTTACACCAGGCAAATCTTTGTGACAAGCCAGCCATATAGAAGACCAATCACAGAACTACGAACTCAGTTCACTGCAACTTACCTTTTTTAATGAAAATCAAAACTCCACCCTCGGTTTGTGTTTTGCTTAAAAAGATTCTGTACGTTTAGGCTAGGATGTTAGGCATAATTCTTGCGCACCCACATCGCGCAACTTTAAAACACTTCTTCTGCAAACACACTTGATACTCCGACCATCTTTCTCTATCTAACATATAAACACACTTTTCCGCTGGCTTTCTTTCCATGTCTACCCTAGACCATGCCAGCTTGGGCCTGGGAGAGCTCCAGGACCCTTTTCAGGTTGTTGAGGTGAGTCCATCCACAGGTGCTGTGATTGTGAAGATCAATTGCTCATCGGTTGCATTTCATCACACAGCTTTAACATGCTTCTTCCACAAACACACACTATCTCTGACCATCTTTCCCTATATAACACACAATAAACACCCTTTTCCGCTGGCGAAATGTGTACCCTCGACCATGTCAACTTGGGCCCGGGACCCGTCCAGGACCCTTTTACGGTTGTTAAAGCACCAGAACATGGGCAGCTGGGCCGCAGGTCTGACACCTCAAATTTTGAAGGAGCCAACGAAAATGCGGCCGCCGATTGAATTTATCAACGGCAGGCCCAGCGTTTGACGTTTCGGCCTCGTTTTCTTGTGGCGTCAAGTTACGGACTGCAAGGCTGGGGCCGTGTACTTGTGGTTTAAGGTGGGTCCTTCGACAGGTGCTGTGATCCGTGAAGATCCGTTACTCATGGATTGTGTTTTGCTTCTGTTCTTCTTGCAGAAGAAAACCAAACTGCTGCTCCAAAGACTACCCACTTGACCTCTTCGCATGCAAATTTCCTGAAAAAGGAGATTAAATCATTTTAAATCATTAAAAAAAGAAGTGACCTCAGGGAACCACAATGCACAACTGCACCAACAAGCCTCACTCAGTTGGTACACTCATAAACTGTTGAAATGCAGACCAGAGTTCGAATCCAGAAGGATCCAGATCAACAAAATTCCTGAATTGCGTAGGGCCGGTCGTTTTCACAATGATATTTCAATTCTGTCGCCCTTTTGTTTCTTTTTTTTTTTCTTTCTTATGCAACTGCTGGGCACTGCAATGTACACCCAACTTCAGCATAACACAGAACAGGACACTGTCTCCATATTTAATCACAACACAGAACCTCATCATGACGCGATCCATCTATTCTCAGCGGGTACACCTGCTTCGCAGAACAGTTTTTCGAACTTTTTCCACGTCTTCTTGTCACCGATCGTTTCAACTCCATTTTGTAAAATGGGCAGCCAGTGCCAAGATTCAGAGGCGGGCTGACAGAGAAATCACTGAAGACTTCTGCATAACAGTACATACTTAGAAGACGAGAAATGCTTACCCACTTTCCCAGACTCTAGACGACATCAAAAGACGGTCCTCACTCACACTCCCACTTTCCAAAAGACGGGGGGGGGGGGGGGGGGGGGGGGGGGGGGGGGGGGGGGGTCCAACGTTACTTTTATCTCCAAATATGAACTCTTTCCCCTGAATCAAAGGGCACAGGTCTAGAAATTTTCAGACATTGCTAGGCAGATAGAGGTCTGGTCCATTGAGCTCACGACACATCACTTTCTTATCCCTAGTTTGTACAGCAACTGTCAGAGAACTTCCAAAAGGGAAGATTAAGCACACAGATGAAGGGCTGGATCGCGAGCTGACCTGAATCAACTCCAAGAGCTCATCACTACAATCTGCATTAAGCGATGACAAATTCAAGCGATCAGAGTTGGGCTTGGAGATCTGTGCCGCCTCGCGCCATCTCTTGCAAGTACTCATGGCTTGGGCAACCGCCTTTGGGTCTCCCCTAAGAGCGCAGAAACAGCGAACGAGTAAATCAACCTTCATCTGAGCCCATCCTGCAGGTCGGTGCTCGGCAATGTCCGGTGTTAACCCACCCGTGACGACCTGACTTGCAGAACTGCCATCCAAAGTGCTTCCAACTTGCCCACCTTTCCCAGAGACCTTTTTAACAGTTTCATTCCGCCCAGGAAGACCTGACGGTGATGCTGGCCTCGCCAGTTCCATCACCGAGGACTCTGCTAATCTCCCATAAGTAGACATTGGAGCCAAATGACTGGGAGATCTATGGACCTTCACGTGATTCATCAACGCTTCATCTGGTTTGTGTGAGCTCGAGCTGGCGCCGTCCCTTCCATCTCTGGTGGATTGAACCTCGTGCACATCAATGCCATGCGAGTTCACCTCCAGGCTCAAATGGTGATGACCTCCCGGCGAGCTGTGACCGCCACTCTCAACCTGTTCCCTGCCCTCAATTCGACTCACTTTCCAAGGATCAACACACGAAGGGCTACAGGGGTCCACCTCAATTCGTCTTTTCTGATTCCGAGAACCATCACTCAGGCCATCATCGTCATCATCATCCGTCACAGTGCGACGTTTTCGCAGGATGGAGCTGCTGTCAGTCTTTCGGGGCATTGGCGGAGGGCCTGATGAACAGGATAATGCCCCATCAAGAGAGTATGTGGGTGCATTTGTGCACACACACACACACACACACACACACACACGCACACACACACAACACACCCACCCACCCACCCACACCCACCCACACCCACACCCACACACATGCGAGAGAGAGAGAGCAGAAAGTCAACATTCATGAAATCCAAAAGACACAGCTGTGACAACTGCACGTCAGTCATTCCCATCCAAAGAGTTGGAAAGCCATCATTTATGAAACTGACACGGATCCACAAGATCTCAATTCAGAAAGAATGCCTGCATCCTACTACTGTCTTCCCCCGAAGAAAGCGTACGGTCACTGTAGCCATATTTGGCTCACCTTTCAGTCCAGATGCAGTAAAATGACCGTACGTTCTACTCGGGTGAGGACGGTAGAGGATCAAACCCTGCAAAGCTCAAAGTCATTGTTGTGGCTTTTAATAACGAGTCAACTGGACCAGGCACATAAAACATTCACTTTCCACTTGGAAATGGACCCGCCCCTCCTACCACAGGCGTCGAGACAATGCGACCACAATCTGCTAAGATGGCATATGCTGAGATACCAAATTGGTCGTAGGCAATGCTTTGACTTTCAGACAACAGTGGACTTTTTGTACGATCCTGTCCTGGAAGTAGGACACATCCTGGAAGAGGATGGCTTTCATCCCTCCCAGATTTTGTCGGAACACCTTACCTGCGAACGCCGTGTTGTGTTAAACCACCAGTACCCCAGGGGGTCTTAGGCCCCCTCTGGGAAGGCTCTGACACAAATGCACATGGACCCGCATGCGCACAGATTCGGCCACCACGTTATCGGCCTAAAAACGTGGAGCCTGGCGGACATGCACTGCACACCAAGCTTTACAAAACCGCCAGCGGAGCACTTTTTTCCTTTTTTGGCCGGCCCTGCGAGCGATTGTGGTCCAGTACACCTGAGGCTCTGAAATTTAGGAATGAGCAATTCGTTTTTTCAAGTTGCCTGGGGCTGTGTACTGGCGGTTTAAACGTCAATTCTTTGCTGCTATCAGTATGTGTGGGATCCTAATGTTAAAGAGCGTGATACGAACGGTGGAACTTCATCCAGCACTTTTTTTTTTCCTTTTTTTTCGTCCAGCACATTTTTCATACCAACATGCGTAGGTTAAAAAGCAACGACAAAATCAACTTGATCCTGCTGGTCATTGCCTCAGGCAAACACGGTCACAATATCATTCAAGCCCCACTGACAGAATCAGGGTGCTTCTCTAGGTGATTAAAAAAGGAGGGATGTAAGAAATGGATGAAACAGGGCCCTGACATTGTTTACAACTCACCTGGCTCTTCTCCATCCACCTCCCCTGAAGCATGTCCTGCTCCACTTGCCACCTTTTTGGGGGTAGACAGCACTTTCTGAGCATCCTCCCGATCTCTCTCCTTTGCCCTCCCAGGCTTTGGCAGTTTCCTTGACGAAGAAACAGTTTGCTGTGTACCCAAAACTGCCCCTCCCTCTGCACTGCCAAATCTGTTACCCGCCACCCCTTTGTTCGCCACCAGGCCAGCCGCCTGATTAGGAATGTAGCTTGTGCGCAATGCACCACCGCCGCCGCATTTACCTGATCCAGCTGTTCCCTTCAACTTGCCCTTGCTTTCCAGCAATCTTCCAAGAGCGTCATCAATTGCTGCCAAAAACACATGGCTGCTATACGACTTCATGACATGGGAGTGAAGTTTGTCGCATGCAAACTTTAGAAATTCTGGTCCATAGCATGTTTCCTCTTCTCTTGGTTTGGGTACCTGTTCTCCTCGTTGACTAGGTTCTTCCCCTTGCACAGCTTCTTCTCGGCCCCCTCCTGCATCTCTGCCTGCTACCACTGCTCGTGCTCCTGCTCCCTCAGACCATTCCCCTCCCGGCTTGCTCTCAAACCCAGAAGCCGCAATCTCACGTTCAGCACCTATTTCCTCCGGAAGCAACGTCACTCCCAATGGTTTCTGGTCAGCTAGCAAAACCATTGCCCCTGCTCCTGGGCCACTTTCTTGAACTGCCATTGTGCTGACAGTCGCTCCACCAACGGCCACCACAAGTCGTGAGGGAGTGGGAACTGCATTTGGCATACACCCATCACAGGGACGGTCAGAAACAGAGGGTGATTCTGCACACGTCTCTCTTCCGGTGGATTGCACAGGTGGGAGCCCTCCTTTCCCTGATGCAAGAGAGATAAACTGACATAACGATGCTCGTGAAGGCCCCAGAGCTCTCAAAATAGATCCATCATCCCCAGCGTCACCTCCCGGCTTGCCGTCCGTTATCACCTGCGGATGGAATGATTCCTTACTCGGTGCCCTTGTCATGGAGATACCATGAGCCACATCGGACCCAGTGTGGACATCAGCCAACAGTTTCACAACCGAGGACTCGACATGAGCAGTGGGCAGATCACCAGCCCATCGGGTTTTTCGAACCCACTTCATGTGAGGCACCTTTTCTTCACTGCCAGGATCGGCTGCACGTGTTTCATCCACCCTTCTGTCCACCTCAGGCGCACTTCCTGCCTGCTGTTCTACATCTCTGACCGTTTCTGAATCCCTACCTTCTGGCACTTTATCTACATTGGGCGTTGCACCAACCCTCGCGGCATCCAACGTCTCCTCAGATGCAGTGCCCTCCAACCGTTGTCTCATCACCAGAGCATTCCTCCTCACCACCATCATGATTTCCCTCCCATCCATTTCATCGATGCCTTTCGCCCGTGTTGCAGCTGCAGAAGTCCCCAAGAACACTGATGGAGTTGTCGGCCCTTTTGAGGCCTGAGTAGCTGCCACCCCATGTGCAACTGCACCCGATTTAAGTGCCCCGGTTCCCCCCCCTGGGAAATGAGGATGTGGCCTCGTATTTCCACAAGCCATGGGTCCACTTTTATGACTGCCAGCAGCCGATTTGTTTGGTGTGCCTCCAACCCGATTCACTGCCCTGGTAGGAGGGGGCACCCGCCCCGTCCCACCAGCACCCCACGCCTTGTTGCGGCTGTCATTTCGGATAAGTTTTCCCTGGGAATCGTCATGCTGGACTGCTCCCGCTCCCATGCTTCCCATACCCGCCCCCTGTCCGCTTAGCGCTGCTTTCCCTATCTGAGAGGGCGTCGATGATGCTTGGATCAGAAGTTGCCTAGGTGTTGCTTCCCTTCCTTCCGCAACTTGCTCAAGATCTATCTCAGTAACATCTTCGGCAGGGCATTGCCAGGCCCAGTCTGGCAGCTGCAGCAAGCAGGGTGGTTCATCGACAGACTCATTGTCATTGCAATCTGGGAACGGTGCTTTCCTGGAAAGCCTCGGGTCGTTCACTTCCTTCCTGCTCCCGTCCGATAGACAGAGAGGCAAGCCTTTGTTCACAACTTGCTTACGCAAGTGCAATCTGTGCCGAAGGGCCTTCTCATCATGTGTACTCCCATGACAAGCCGACTCATCAATCAGACTCCAGTCCCCTCCGCGCAAGGGCCAATGATACTTCTTCTCTGGCTCTTTATCGTCATCCTCCTCTGTTTCCTCTTCAACCTCCTCCGTTTCCTCGTCCTCCATCCCCTCTTCATCATCCTCCTTGCCACGCACTTCTGCCACCTTTCCGCCTACTCCTTTGCTTTCACCTTCTCCAATTGATCCATCTAAGCCACCGGTTCCGTTCTCCAAGATCACCCCTCCACACCTGGAGCAGCTGTCCCTGCTGCCAAGCCGTCTCTCCGCGTCCTCAACCTGCTCGCCATCTGCCCGGTTAACTCCACACTTGCAGAATTGCAGTCCTGCAACACGCACACTGCTATCACCTTGCCTCTGACCCTCCTCTCCCGTTTCATACGACCGGCCTGCACTGCCAAACATGCTCCCGATCACCCCTAACTCGCCAAAACCCTGGTCGGCAGCCACTGTCAACAGGAATAACTAGTCAGACCTGCAATCACAGAATCAATTTTACCACATCTCGCGCCCCTCTCCTACCATGCATGCAATGTTTGCTTGACTCACCTGATCATCCATTATGCAAAGAGGAACACGTTTTACTAACAGGTAGGAGCAAGCCATACTACCAGCTTTGTATGTTTCATACATCATACATGTGTGTGAAAAAAAAGAGAAAACAAAAGCTACGTTACATACGGCATACATGTAAATGGCAAAAAAGGGAAAACAAAGGCTAGCTTCAGGTTAGGCCTGACATGAATCGCCCAAAATAATCAAACGCGACTACGAAATATACTCGACCATAGAAATCACCAAGGCGCCTCGTAGTTGGGGGCCAAAAACGTTCCACCAACAGGCAGGAGCTCACCATTGGCACCCAACTACAAGACACTCACAATTCACACTCCCCAGTTTAGTTTCAAAGGAAAAAAGCCGGCTTTACCAACTTCACACTCAACTCTGCCAACCAATTGCCAAGGAGTTGATGCAGAGACCAAGTTCCACAACACTTGCAACATTGAAAGAACAAAAAAAAAAACCTTAAATTACCTCAGGGCAGCATGCAGGAGATGCTTACCTAGCATCATTTCTGCGTCATATCTCTCATCCTCGAGCTGTTGCGGGATGGAGCACCTCCTCAATGCCTCTGTAAACGGAACGACAAGCAAACGTTGGTCCTGAGCATCATGAGACAATGACTGTTAATCAAACTCGCCACCTGCCATATCATGCAGCGCCTGCTGAAGAGGACTTGCACACATAAACCAATTCAGCACATGCTGAACAGGACTTGCAAGCATAAACCAGAGTCAAAAAACATTCTCCTCAGCTACTTGGTCAACATGTAGAGCTAAGTCAACACAAGCCGAGGACGACCGTCTTCACCCAGGTAAGATGCCCTGTCATTATCGCTGCATCTGGTCTGAAAGAAGGCTGCAGAAGTCCACAAAAAAACTCAGAACAAAGAGGTCCCTGATTGTGCACAGGCAAAACAGATGTCGCAGCACAGGAAGCTTACCAAGAAGAAGGGGATCAGATGAAGGCCGTCAAACGAAAGAGATGACACAAAGGTGATGCAGTATGGGGGAATGAAACAAGGGAGATGTGACAAAGGGATAAGCAAGAGTGGAGGAGAAGACGCGGACAACAGCAACGGGCCACATGAAGCAGGCCAACATCAAGCGGGCGACTCATCCCCTCCGTGTCAGGAATTGGGAAGGGGATGAGAGGAGAGGACAGAGACGAGAGCAAGTAGCCGAGAGGAGATGACGGGGACGAGGGGAAGGGGGCGAGACGAGAGGAATGGGGTAAGAGGGAGGGGGCGAGAGAAGAGAAAGGGGCAAAGAGGAAGGGGGTGTGAGAAAGGGGGTGAGAAGAAGGGGTTGAGAAGACGGGGGTTAGAAGAAGGAGGCGAGAGAAAGGAGATGAGAAGCAAGCCAACGAACGAATTGTGGGTTTCAGGTACAAAGACGTTTACAACCAAGAAAGACTGATATATGTATGGACCCTTGAACTTCAAAAAAAATCACTAGTTTACTGATTTCTTTTAAGCATTTAGAAGAATCATGAACGCTTATAGCCGAATTTATCGAAAACAACTTACAAAGCAACATGCAGGGTAGCATGGAGTGTCAAGAAGGAAATACATACCAAGAATGCAGTCCTTCTCCTTCCCAGGAATAATCCTTGTCGTCCCCAGCAACCGCTCCACCCTTTCCTCAATTGTTAGGCCTTGCCGAGTAGGGACCTCCAGCTGGGGCGACTCTATCTGCTCATGCTCCTCCGGCTGCTGCTGCTGCTCCTGAACCTGCTCCTGAACCTGCTGCTGAGCCTGGTCCTGAACCCGCTGCTGAGCCTGGTCCTGAACCTGCTGCTGCACCGGATGCTGCTCCTGCACCTGCTGCTGATCATCCACCTGCTGATGTTCCTGCTGCTGCTGAAGAAAGACATCCCGCTCTTCGGGTCCGACTCCTAGCATTCCTGATTCAGCAGCACAGGAGGGTCCATGAATGGCTCCAAATCCAGACACCTCTGCTTGGTCACATGCACCCACAGTTCCGTCCTCTGTGGCCATGGCCTTCTCGCTGCCTTCTGCATCGTAACGAGCAGCCTTCTGGCGGAGAATCACCTCCTCCTCCTCCTCCTCTCGGTGAAGTGGGGGTGGTGGTGGCGGTGGAGGTGGCATTGGCAGAGGCAGAGGCTCAACACTGCAGTCGGACTCTACAATCATGTCGTGCTTGGAAAAGTCGTCGCTATCCTCTGCACCATCGATCTCCATTTCCACGACATGCCCTCCTGCAGAGTCACTTCCCCTGCATTCATCCATTGTCCCAGCTGCATCCCCATTCCCGAGCCCATCGACCCGTCCCTCAACTGCGCCCTGCAGCGGAAGTACATTCACGCTCATGACATCCGGAGGACCTTGTAGAGTTACAACACCATCCGCAATAGACCCCATCGCTTCTCTTGTTCCTGACACCTGCCTGGTCATTGTTCCATCTGTCGATCCCATTGTTCCACAGAGCATCCCACTACCCACTAACCCATTCGCCTGCCTTCCTTGTTGCTGAGCTTCTGCCTGTCCGCCTTGTATGAGGTGCTCGGGTTGTGAAACAACACCCATCTCCCGATATGTCGCACCAGGCATGAGCATAGCAAAACCCTGCCCCTCTGCCTTAAGTTCCCCGCAGTCGGCTCCGAACTGGGCAGATCCAAGGCTGTGATGTATTAGTGGCATTGGTATGGACAGGGGCACAACCGACGGTGAGTCTGCCTTGGCCAATTCCACCCACACTTCAACCCCCTCCCTCCTCACAGGGTAGTCTGGCCTAAAATGCCCCTCATGAAGCCACTGCTTCAGTTGACTCAATGGAAACGGTCCTTGCAAGACACCCTGCAAATCCTGGTACATCCATCCTCCTGCAGGCCTACCTTCCGAAAACACACCGTTGCCATCAATTCTAGCGGGGTCGCCGACCTCCCCTGTTAGTGGAATCAGTACTTGCCAGGCACCCAGAGGAGCCCCCTCTACACCTCCACCGCTCCCAACTGGTCGGGCCCCGGCAACCACATCCCCCGAGGTTTCTTGCACAGGCGGTGCAGGAGGTTGGCCAGTTTCAGATGTGCCTCCTGTAGCAGCTCCTTTGCTCGCAAGTGCAGCAGCACCCGACGCCTCAGTTACTCCTGGGTCTGAGCGCGAGAGCGTCACTCCCTGATTCACCCCCTGGAGCCCATCCTGATGCCCAGTATGCCCTCTATCTCCTGAGTCAGACAGCTGCTGCACCCTGCCTATCCCGGGTCCAATTCCAGTGACCCCAACGTCAATGGATGCCCCTCCTATCGCCGGAGGAGGTGCACACCCCCCTCCAATCGCCGGAGGAGGTGCACACCCCCCTCCAATCGTCGGAGGAGGTGCACACCCCCCTCCAATTTCCACTCCGCCTGTCCCTCCTCCTATCCCTATCAGTGCAGCTGCCAGTTGCTGTGTCAAAAGCTGTGAAGGGGGACCAGGCCCGACCCCCAAGATACCCTGTCCTCCTGATCTTGGTCGCGGAAACAAGGTAGGGGATAACGGATGGAAATCTAGCAGCTGTGTGGGATTATGAGAGACAGTATTGCCAAGAGCCAACGCAAGAGGCAAACTGGTGGTATCGGGAAGTTTCAAGCAGTTGCCTACGAAACCCTGCCAGCCAACATTGGTCGGGAATGACAATGCTTTATCACCGAACAGCCTGCCTCCTCTTGCATTGTTCCATGCCGCCCTGCCCGCTTCCCGATTTTGATCACCCACTCCACCTATCCCCCCCACTCCACGAACTCCAGCAACGCCAGTGCCTGCTTCAGCATCTCCCCTTCCCCACCCTCCTCTTCCTCGATCCAAGCCCCCAACACTCCAAGTACCCCTGTCGCGCCCTCTGCCCAACCTTCCACACCACCCCTGCTCTCGTTCACCTCCTCCCTGACCTCTTCGCCCATCGTCATTCTGCCCTCCAGACATTGCCCCCCTTTCACGCTCCCAGAGTGCTCCAGCCCCTCTCGCATTATCACCCCGCTCTGCGGCATTGTCATTCAAGGCTACAACCCCACCTGGAAGACGGGATCCCCCAACCCATGTGCCAGCTTCCGGACCTGCTGCCGTCTCTGAGCCCTGACATTTCCAACCTTTCACTCTCTCACCATGACTGCCCCATCCTCTCTCATTATCTGTCGCAGGTACGGCAGCCTCTCTAACCCATGTTAATTTGTTGGTTTCACTGTTCACCCCTCCCCCTCTGGTAGCCTCCCCCTGCCAACCCACCCCTCTATCTCCACCTCTTCCTCCTCTGCCTCCCCATTCCCGCCTATCAATACATGCCCCTCCTGGAACCCGAGCACTGGACCCCATTGCTTTTCCATCACCCTTTCCACTCGGATCAGACCAGGTTCCACCCCTTCCCGCACCCCCTGCTCTTCCAGCCTCACCCCAGTCGAGTATACGTCCATTCTTCTCCCTGGTCTCCGTTCCATTCACTGTCGTAAATCTGCTAGAGTTTGCACTGCTGCCACCATGCCCTCGCCCAGTTCGCCCCTGTTCGCGATGTGAGGAGTGAAGGTCGCCCCCCCAGCCCCTGTTTTCCATCAAAATCCCAAGCCAACAGCTGCAGAGAATGCCTCCAGCTCCTCAATGCCTGCATTAACAAGACGCAGATGCAAACCCGCACCCACCTGACCATTGTCATAAATACCACAACTTCATCAAAGAACATGCCGCAAACACGTATCACTAGTATTGTACACACACACTCTGCCCACTCTCACCAACATCCACGCCCCCCCCCCAAGCTCCTTCCCTTCTTCCGAGCCCCAAACTGACACCCCTTTCGAGGCCCTACACTCTACAGCGCACCCGCAACACACAAATGTCGCAAATTTCAACACCCCCCCCCGGATCCAACCAACTTAAGACTTATTCGCCCAACATCACTGCCAGAAAACCAGTCCTCCTTCCCCGTACAGAGCAGCGATAGCAGTCGCATGTCATTTCAGCCACGACTTCGACCCAACAGCCAGGTTACCTATCAGCCATGCTGGAGATCCCTCCAGACCATGCCAACAAACCATGCGTTCAAACTCCATGGACGGCCACATCGTCGTCAGCCACTTTCCTCGCATTGAAGCCTTCATAGGATGCATCGGTTCCAACTCGAATTCACGTCTTCTGTCCTTCGGGCTCTAACCAAGCGCGAGCACAGCGGCACGTAACAGAGTTTTGCCACAGTTCACAGACAGACCACAGTTCAAAGCCTGGTCAGACACCAGGCTACAACAAGATGAATTCTAGGCGACAAATGAGATCCGCCCTTACTGAAAGCAACACAAAAGACCACCTGGCCTAGCTCGGCTGATACACCCATGAAACTGGTGAAATGCACACTCAAGTTCGAATCCACATGCAACGAGACGCAACTCTGAATTTTTTCATGGGGCCTGTCCATTCGAAGATGACATCTCAAGGCCGTATCTTGAGAGAGAGAGAGAGAGAGGGGGGGGGGGGGGGGGGG